TTTGGCGGCATTATTTGTATGATGTTCCTTGTGATATTTACACCGATCATCGGAGTTTGCAGCATCTGTTCAAGTAGAAGGATCTTAATTTGCGTCAGAGGAGGTGGCTGGAGCTGCTTAAGGATTATGATATCACCATTTTGTACCACCCTAGGAAGGCCAATGTAGTAGACGATGCTTTGAGTCGCAGGGCAGAGAGTTTGGGGAGCTTAGCATATCTACCAGCAATAGAGAGGCCCATGGCGTTGGATGTTCAGGCCTTAGCCAACCAGTTTGTGAGATTGGATATTTCTGAGCCGAGTCGAGTATTAGCTTGTGTGGTCTCTCGGTCTTCCCTTTATGATCGTATCAGGGAGCGTCAATATGATGACCCCCATTTGCTTGTCCTTAAGGACACGGTCCAGCACAGTGATGCCAAGGAAGTCACTATTGGATATGATGGTGCATTGAGGATGCAGGGCAGGCTATGTATGCCCAATGTAGATGGTTTGCGTGAGTTGATTCTCCAGGAGGCTCACAGTTCGCGGTACTCTATTCATCTGGGTGCCGTAAAGATGTATCAGGACTTGAAACAACATTTCTGGTGGAGGAGGATGAAGAAGGACATAGTAGAGTATGTGGGTCGATGTATAAATTTCCAGTAGGTGAAGTATGAGCATCAGCAGCCAGGTGGGTTGCTTCAGAAGTTGGGGATTACGGAATGGAAATGGGAGCGGATCACTATGGATTTTGTTGTTGGACTCCCACGGACTCGGCGGTGGTTTGATGCAGTTTGGGTGATTGTGGATAGGCTAACCAAGTCGGCTCATTTCATTCCTGTGATGACTACCTATTCTTCCGAGCAGCTAGCTCGAATCTACATCCGTGAGATCGTCAGGCTTCATGGCGTACCGGTATCTATCATCTCTGACCGGGGTCCGCAGTTTACATCACAGTTTTGGAGAGCTGTACAACATGAGTTGGGTACTCGGGTTGAGTTGAGCATAGCATTTCACCCTCAGACGGACGGACAGTTCGAGCGCACTATTCAGATACCGGAGGATATGCTCCGCGCTTGTGTGATAGATTTTGGGGGTGCTTGGGACTAGTTCTTTCCACTTGCGGAGTTTGCTTACAACAACAGTTATCAGTCCAGCATTCAGATGGAACCATATGAGGCTCTGTATGGTAGGCGATGTCGGTCCCCAGTGGGTTGGTTCGAGCCGGGCGAGGCCAGATTATTGGGCACAGACTTGGTTCAGGATGCCTTGGAAAAGGTTAAGGTGATTCAGGATAGACTTCGCACAACCCAGTCCAGACAGAAGAGTTACGCGGACCAAAAGGTTCGTGATGTTGCATTCATGGTTGGAGAGCGGGTCTTGCTCCGGGTTTCGCCTATGAATGGCGTTATGAGATTCGAAAAGAAGGGCAAGCTGAGCCCAAGGTTCATTGGTCCTTTTGAGGTGTTGCGGCGTGTTGGGGAGGTTGCTTATGAGCTTGACTTACCTCCCATCTTAGCAGGAGTTCATCTGATATTTCATGTTTCGATGCTCCGGAAGCATCACGGTGATCTGGCTCACGTATTCGATTTCAGCTTAGTCCAATTTGACAAGGATCTATCTTATGTTGAAGAGCCATTGGCTATTTTAGACAGGCATATCAGAAAGCTAAGGTCAAAGAACATTACTTCCGTGAAGGTTCAGTGGAGGGGATAGTCGGTCGAAGAGGCGACTTGGGAGACCGAGTAAGATATGCGCAACCGTTATCCTCATCTTTTCACCACTTCAAGTATGTCTCTATACTCGTTCGAGGACGAACGATTATTTTAAGAGGGGGAGGATGTAACGACCGGGACGGTCATTTTGAGAGTAATAGCCCCGATCCCCTATTTACTGCTTCTCCGATATCTATTTTTGCTATTGTAACTTGCAGGGAGGTTTCATTTTGATTTTTGGAGTGTTTTGGGATACTTAATCCCTAAATGGAGGTTTAAGCCTTAGGATTTGGACCGTAGTCATAACTGGGTGAAGACAACTCCGGAATGGAATTTTGTCGATTCCGTTAGCTCCGTTAGGTATTTTGGACTTAGGGGCATGTCCGGATTGTGTTTTGGAGGTCCGTAGCTTATTTAGGCTTGAAATGGCGAAAGTCGAATTTTTGGAGATTTTGATCGGTAGTGGACTTTTTGATATCGGGGTCGGATTCTGATTCCGGAAGTTGGAGTAGGTCCGTAATTTTGAATATGACTTATGTGCAAAATTTGGGGTCAATCGGATGTGGTTTGGTTAGTTTCGGCATCGGTTGTCGAATTTAGAAGTTTCAAGTTCTTTAAGTTTGAATCGGGGGATGATTTGTGATTTTAGCGTTGTTTGATGTGGTTTGAGGGCTCGACTAAGTTCATATGGTATTTTAGGATTGGTTGCTATATTTGGTTGAGGTCCCGGGGGCTTCGGGTGAGTTTCAGGTGGTTAACGGACTTGGAATGGAAGTTGAGAAATTTTTGAAGTTTGGTCCTTTGCTGGTATGATCGCACCTATGAGGGTATTAGCCGCGGGTGTGAGGCCGCAGGTGCAGAAGGTTGAGCGCAGGTGCGGAAGGGGTGGAGATCAGCATAGGTCGCAGGTGCAATGGTTTCTCCGCACCTGTGATAGCGCAGATGCGGACCAGTGGTCGCAGAAGCGGAGGCAGCCAAGGTTAGTCGTTTTCGCAGGTGCGCCCACTTTTTCGCACCAGCGGGCGCACAGGTGCGAGCCTAGGCTCCGCAGGTGCGAGCCCAGGCTCCGCAGGTGCGGAAATGCCTAGGCAGTGTTTAAAACCAAAGGGCTTCGTGATTTTTGCCATTTTTCACTTTGCAAACTCGGTTTAGGGCGATCTTTGATAGCATTTTCGAGGCATTTCTTGAGGTAAGTCCCTTGTGCTTATTTTTTATCAACAATCTTGCTTCCCCATTTATTTTTCCATCTCGTTAGTATGTATTTAAGGTAGAATTTGGGAGTTTGAGGTTAGGGATTTGAAAACTTTGATTTGTGGATTTGAAGGACAATTTGATGTCGGATTTTAGTAAATTTGATATGGTTAGACTCGTGAGTGAATGGGCTTTCGGATTTTGTGACTTTTATCCGATTCTGAGACGTGGGCCCGGTCAATATTTTAGGACGAATTTCGGAATTTTTGTTAAAGTATTGATTTCATTAATTAGATGAGTCTATTATGGTTGTAATTATGATATGTAATTACTTTTGGCTAGATTTAGGCCATTCAAAGTCGGATATTCGTGGGAAAGGCATTGTAACCGATTGATTGAGCTTGGTTCGAGGTAAGTGGCTTGTCTACCTTTGTGTGGGAGAAATTTCCTTAAGATTTGGAACTATTGTGATATGTGAGCGCCGTATACGTGAGGTGACGAGTACGTAAACAGACTAGTTGTGAAAAAATCTGATTTTCTTATTGAACGACAACCTATTTTCCTTTTATTTTGAGTTATACCATTTTAATGAGTATCAATCTATTTTCATTCTTAATTGAGTTATTCCAATATGTGTAGCTATCTTGTTTAGTCTAATACAACATGTCTACGTGTCTTAACTGCTTATGTGAACTCTGTACAGCATGCTTAGTGAATTTCCTGCTTCTTCCTTCACTGGTACTTAGTCTAAATCGTAAGCTTTCGTGATGTAGCTGTATTTCTATTATTTGCGCTGCATATTTACTTTGGGACTACGGAATGGTATTCCGAGAGATCCCCCAGTACTATATATTTACTTTGGGACTACGGAATGGTATTCCGAGAGATCCCCCAGTACTATATATTTACTTTGGGACTACGGAACGGTATTCCGGGAGATCCCCCTTTACTGCATATTTACTTTGGGACTATAAAACGGTATTACAGGAGATCCCCCTGTACTGCATATTTACTTTGGAACTACGGAACGGTATTTAGGGAGACCCCCTATCTTGCATAATTACTTTAGGATTACGGAACGGTATTCCGGAAAATCCCTCTACACATTTACGTTTGGGACTACGAGACAGTATCTCGGGAGATCCCCTGTTGTATTTCTGTGTATTGAGTTGTTACCTTCTATGAATTCTTTCTTGTTAAATTTCAGTCTTTATTTTACTGCGATATTTCATTTTTGTCTTGTTTTATTATCATATTCCAGTAGGGCCCGGACCTGACCTCGTCACTACTCTACCGAGGTTAGGCTTGGCACTTATTGGGTACCGATTGTGGTGTACTTATGCTACTCTTCTGCACATGTTTTGTGTGCAGATCCAGGTACTTCTTATCAGCCTCGCTACTAGCTGAGAGTGCTTGCTGCTGTACGGAGACTTCAAGGTTTATCTGTCGCATCCGTAGACCTCGGAGTCCCCCTCTATTCCCTCCTATGTCAATTAACTTCCTTACTTCTGTTATTAAACTCTGGTGTATAGAGATACTAATTTTCTTCTGTAGCTTGTGACTTACGATGTTCCGGGTTATGGGATTACTGTGTATTTTGAACAGTTAGTTGTTTAATTCATGTTTTCATTTCATTATTCCGCAAATGTTAGGCTTACCTAGTCATAGAGACTAGGTGCCGTCACGACGTTATACAGAGAGAAAATTGGGTCGTGACAATCGCAATATGTTTTCTTGCCCAAACAACTATATGTTGCACTTTCAAGAGGAATATCAATATCAACAACAAGAGTTATGGCTATGGCAGAGCAACCAAAGCATTAGAAGGAAACATACACAAAAACAAAATCATCTACAAAGAAATATTCGATAAGATACTATCAAATTAAATACTTTTAAATTATAATACTTAATTATCTAACTGACATGACTAAATTGATCATTTGTGTAAGTTCTGATGATGTCATTTTATTTTGAATTCACGTATTATGCTAATATAATACTATTTTTCAACTTTCAGATGATTTAAATGGTTAANTATATATATATATATGGCCATTGCACGTACTGAGCACGGGCCAAACATTTTATGTTTCCTATTAATGAACTTGCGTAGTCATTTGGTGACGAAGATAGTGTAAAGAATAAAAATGCTGACGAAGAGCGAAAAAATGATCTTATCAGATTCAAATGACACTTTCACTCCGACTCTTCCCAACAAGGATATAGAGATCAAGTTTGCCCTCATAGTAGGAACATGCAGTACATCAACAAGGGCTAAAGTTTTTCCCAAAGTGAGTTTCAGGAGAACTTTACCCTTACCCAAGACTTTTGTTATACTTGAGTCTCCAAGGTAGACCTCTTCTCTATTATCCTCTACATGAGTATAAGAGGAAAATGCTTCTCGATTTGCACAAATGTGCCGAGTAGCCCCAGAGTCTACCACCCATTCTTTTGCATGTGCTACAATATTTACTTGAGAAATGACAGCTGCAATAATATCACCTCCTTCAGCTAAGTTAGCCTTAGGAGTATTCGTTTTTCCTTTGATTTCCTGCTCTATACCTGCACTGTGAGGCATGATGGCCTGATTTTTCACAAATAAAACAAGAGCCTTTTTTTTATTTTAAGGTTAGGATTTTTAGGCTTGTAACCTTAAGACTTATTCTCGTACCTTTTATGGTTGTTGTTGTTGCTTTGCACTAAGTTTGCTTTAAGAGCTGTCATCCTAACTTTGGCAGATTCTTTTCTGTTGGAATCTTCAATTAGGATGTGGATCACAATTTTCTCAATAGTGAAATTTTTCTGTTTGTGCTTTAAGTTATTTTTGTAGTCACTCCATGAGTCAAGCAGCTTCTCAATTAGCACTCCAGCAATAAACTTTTCTAGTAAAGACATCCCCTCGGCCTTAAAGTCTTCTAACAATTTTTGAAATTCATTGATTTGTACGTTCATCTCTTTATCATCTCTCATCTGCCACTGATAAAATTTTTCTACTATAAATTTTTGTTTTGTAGAATCTTCAGCGGTGAATTTTTTAATTAAGGCTTCCCAGATAGCTTTTGCTTCTTTATAACTGCAATATACACCAAACAGTTCATTAGATATAGTTTGCAATATGGTATGACGGTATACCTTGTTGGCGTGTTGCCATGATTCCACTATTTTATTATCAGTGTCTGGACTAGGTTGTGGATGCAGCAGTACATGTGCAACACCGTAGACATCAAGCAGTGAGAAAATACGTTCTTGCCAACGCTTGAAATTTTCTTTGGCGAAAATTTTGATATTCGACACATCTAGAAATGGCCTGGCATATGATAGTGCAACTGGAACTGGGGCAACGGAGGTAGCGCCAATATTGGTAGTATCAATAGTATTTTCAGCATCAGTGTTGTTTGCCATAGTTTCTTAGATTGTAGGAAGTGAGAGCAAAATTTCAATAATAACACTGCTACAATAATATTATTTGTAAGTAAATACACGAATTAGCTTGAGTCGTGTTGGACACTGTCCTAAGAAACTATTTCAGCAATGTGAAATGCCTCTCCAGGATTAAACAAGCCTATCTCTATTAGGGAGGATACAAGAATCAGCAAAATATTAAAGTATAAATACAGCTATTTAAAAGAGAAAACAAACAAAGTAGACTACAAATAGTTTAAGGAGGAAAGAAAAGGAAACTGAAGAGGAACGAAAGAGGCAAAGTAAAATATACTTATCTTGATGGCTATTTTGAAGGCCTATTTATAGGCTAATTGAGAAGTTTAGAACATGACAAATGTATGACACTTGTTTTGAACTTTCCATGCAAGTTGCCACATGGATGGACATTTGCCCACTTTTTTGAAATATCACAACATCAGTCATTAAGATGTAAGAGGATGGCTGTGCTGATTTTGTACTGTTGACAAATGTCTAATGTGTACAACTTCGTAACAAATTACAGAAAAGCAATATGGTATTCACTTAAAAAAATTGTACTACTTCTATCTCATTGTACTTTTCCTGTTCAAGGTACCGTAACATGAGTCAGAAGGAGATGATTTACCAGATGTAACAGAGTTCAATTCTAGGATTGGCTGTGTCTAAGATCTGATGTTTACACGAGCAGTTTTGTTAGCTATTTCTGGTGTTATTTTGTTTTTCATATGTGGAATGTTTGTTACCTATGAAGGCGTTCTCAGTGTAAACTCAAGTACATATATGACATACTTTTGCATCAATCTATGCAAATATTTATAGTTGTGTTACTGTATCTTCAGGCAAGTAAGTGAATTTTGAAGGCTCTCTCCTTAATTGAGGGTTGGAATTAGTACTTGGCTGATTGTGACAACTTAGATTTGATGTGACATTATTAGTCGTATCACCTATACACCTTTTGTAAAGCAGGATAGCTGATGCAATGATTTTTCATTATCTATTACTCTATATACTCTATTATATTATGGCATCTCCACACCTCAACCATTTCACATACTCCTATATGATATCTGCTTGCGTCAATCATATCAGCATATAAGCTTATGCAATTTTAGCTTTATGTTTTTATATGCGCTAGTAGACCAAAAACAATGTGTTTGTGAGAAATGGCTATTATAACCAAGGACTCTTTGTACTTAATGTTTCTGATGTTATCAATGAAAATATATCTGTTTCTACTTATATAGTTGAGTCTATCTCTTTATGGCGTGCTAGATTAGGACACATTAATATCGCATATATAAAGAAAATGCAGTTATAGTTTAGACTCAAATAATATTGACAAGTGTGAAATATGTGCTGAAGCTAAAAGTACTAGAAAGACCTGTTTTTCCGTAAATAGAGAAACCAAATTGTTATCTTTAATTCACACTGATTTAGGCGACTTGAAGCAGACTATGACTAGAGGTGGTAAAAGATATTATGTGACTTTTATTGATGATTTTTCTAGATATACTAAGTTGTATTTGCTTAGAAATAAAGATGATACCTTTAATACTTTTATTTCTTATAAAACTGAGGTTGAAAATCAACTTAGTAGAAAAATCAAGAGAATTAGATCTGATAGAGGTGGAGAATATTTTTCTTTAAATGATTTTTGTGAAAAGAATGAAATTATTCATAAGTAACTCCGTCTTATTCACCTGAGTCAAATGGAGTAGTTGAAAGGAAAAAAAGAATATTGAAAGAGATGATGAACTCTATGTTAGTTAGTTCTAATGCTCCTGATAATTTGTAGGGTGAAGCTATATTATCTGCATGTCACTTACAAAATAGAATACCACATATAAAAACTGGCAAAACTCCGTATGAATTGTGGAGGGGTTATAAACCTAACTTAAAATATTTAAAAGTGTGGGGGTGCCTTGCTAAAGTCCTTTTGCCTGAACCTAAAAAGAGAAGAATAGGTTCTAAAACCGCTGATTGCATACTTATTTGATATGCTGAACATAGTGCTGTATATAGATTTCTTGTTTTAAAAAGTGATGTGCTTGATTGCAATACTATAATTGAGACAAAGAATTCTGAGTTCTTTGAATATATTTATCCACTGTCTGATAAAATTTCTCATACACCTGTTGAAACAAATAATAAAATTACCTCTAATGAGGAAGTTGTGATAACCCAAAAGGTCGTCTTTAAATTTAATAATTATTTCTGTATTATGAGACCTCAAACAACACTATCCATCATTCCTCGACTTGCGTACGCAGTCCGTATAATTTTTCGGAAAGTTTTTATATGAACACTATTCTGGTCTTTGAGCTTCAGCTATCATCTGGTGCATGGTGCTTCGCGATCGCGAAGCCATTCCCGCGATCGCGAAGAGGAAATTGTGAGCCGTAATTTTTACCCTTAGCGTTCGCGAAGAAAGGCACACGGTCGCGAATGGTTGGCTCCCAGTGCATCGCGAACATGTAGAGTTAATCGCGTCCGCGAAGAGGAAATGAGGCACAAGTTGGGGCACTCAAATTTTATCTTCGCGTTCGCATGAAGCAGTCCGCGATCGCGAAGGTCTACGGGGTTATGCTTCGCGTTCGCGTATGGGATGTCGCGTTCGCGTTGTGCAAATTGGCTGCCTGTGCAAACTGTGCTTCGTGATCACGAAGAGTAAAATGGACCTGGGTATAAATTGTTCTACGCGATCGCGAACGAATTCTCGCGATCGCGATGAGTAAAAATTTGGACAACAGAACTTAAGTTTTGGAAATGGGATTTCGCCCCATTTTTCATTATTCACGATTTTGAGCTCGGGTAAAGCGATATTTGGGCGATTTTCACAGGAAAAAATTGGGGTAAGTGTTTTTTATCCTATGTTGATTATATTTCATGATTCCATACTCATTTACATCATGAATCCGTGAATTTATGAAAGAAAAATCTAATTTTTATAAAATCTTCCAAAAATATAAAATGAAGATTTGAAAGCCAATCCGATGTCGGAATTCGATAATTTTTATATGATTTAACTCGTATCGGAACGGGTGTTTGGATTTCGTGAGTTTTTTCAGGATTCGAGACGTGGGTTCCACTATTGAATTTTGAAATAAATTTCGGATTTTAATCCGGAAAATTAGTAAATTCATATGGAATTTATTCCTACGATTTATATTGAGTATATTGAATTGTTTATGACTAGATTTGAGGATTTAAGACAAGAATTCACGAGGCAAAGGTTTATTGGATTCTTGAATTTGGTTGCAAAGCGAGGTAAGTATCGTGGTTAACCTTGACTTGATGGAATAGAACCCTTGAATTATTTGCTATGTGAATTTCATGTGTAATGATGTATAGGCAAGGTGACGAGTGCCTATACTTTGTCAATTTAATTGTTTGCTTAATTATTTAAACATCTTAAATTATTTTAAGACACGAATTAATTGTTATAATAATTATTTCTCTCTTATTCCTTGTCAAATATTAATTCTTGAATTTTTGTAATAAGTGTCACATGCTTATTTGATTTATGTGTCTTAATTGCTATTTGACATTTAGCATATTAAATATTATACTGTCTATTTTCACCTTAATTTCCATAATTAATTGCTACTTGTCATTGTTTGTTTCATAAATGAATTATAATTATTGTATGCCTTGATGCTTCATAGTTTCTCATTGAACGTGGTATTTATTGGAGTATTTTTATTATATTTAAGAGTTGTTAACATATATGGGGGGATCGGGTTGCACGCCACAATGGAAATGAAAATAAATATATTGGGGGATCGGGTTGCACGCCACAATAGAGTTATTTAAAGTTATATTTGGGGATCGGGTTGTACGCCGCAACGGATTTATTTAAAGTTTATATTGTTGGAGCGGGTTGCACGCCGCGACGGAAGTTGATTAAAATAATAATTGGTTATGACTGCCGAGTTGACTTCAACTGTTAAAATGAGTTACCTGATTTATTTCTATTATTGTTGTTGTTAATTATTATTGCGTACAGGTTAGTGTAAGTGACCTTCCTTAGCCTCATCACTATTTCGTCGAGGTTAGACTCTGCACTTATCAGTACATGGGGTCGGTTGTACTGATACTACACTCTGTACTTCTTGTGTAGATTTCGGAGTTGGTCCGAGCGGCATACTATAGATTTGCCCGGATTTAGCTACCAGTGGAGACTTGAGGTATAACTGCACAACGTTCGCAGTTCTGAAGTCCCCTTCTATCTTATTTCAATTGTGTATTATATTTTAAACAGCTTGAACTTTCTTCAGACCTTTATTTGTATTATTCTAGAAGCTCGTGCACTTGCGACTCCAGTTCTGCGATAGTATTTAGATATCGTGATTATTATGGATTATTCACTTTATTTCATACTTTATTTCCGTATTTATTTCCTTGTTATTAATTAATTTAAAATTTTATTAAAATGGCTAGTTATATTCTAACATTGGCTTGCCTAGGAGGTAAAAAATGTTAGGCGCCATCACGGTCCCGAAGGTGGAAATTTCGGATCGTGCCAGTTGGTATCAGAGCCCTAGGTTACATAGGTCTCACGAGTCACGAGCAAATTCAGTAGAGTCTGAAGGATCGGTACGGAGACGTCTGTACTTATCTTTCAGAGGCTATAAGGTTTAGGAACAATATCACTTCTTTCTTATTCTGTCGTACGATCTTATTCTATCATCGATAATTGAACCATTCTATTCTTATTCTCTCGCAGATGGCGAGAACACGTAATACATCTACCGACGGACAGGGACCAGAGCCCCCGGTGACAACTATGGCCAGGGGTAGAGGTCGAGGCTGAGGTCGTGCTAGAGGCCGAGGCAGAGACAGAGGCAGAGGTAGAGCTTAGTCTAGAGCTCAAAACAGCAGCACCTGTTGTAGAGCCTCAGGTTGATCTTCAGGAGGAGTTTCCTGTTCAGACTGTACCGATTGGACCAGTTCAGGTCCTAGAAGGATTTATAGCTACT